CTTTTTGGCTTTGCACACATCAGCCTGAGAAGCTCCAGGCAGCGCTGCTCTCACAGCCTGCTGCAGAACCTCCCTCAGATTTTAACAGAGCGCCTGTGCTTTGTGCTATCTGCACAATTTAAAAGCTAACTTTGAAAAAGAAGTGCAAGGAGGAAGAATCTCATGAATCAGAAGCATTAAACAGAATTTCAACAATTGCTGAAAGAACTTGTCTTAAAAATCTTACATCATCTTTTAATCTTTTCCTAAGGCTAAAATCTGATCAACAAAACTAAAATAGTACATTCACTGGAGTGCTTTATATAGACACAGACAATGTTTCGGAAGGCATTTCAAGCATGATAAAGTTTATAAGGAATTTTAGCAGGGCATTCTGGCGGGTGCCTGCAGTCCCAGCTACTCGGAAGGCTGAGGCAAGAGAATTGCCTAAGCTCAAGAGTTGGAGGTTGCTATGAGCTGTGACGCTATAGCACTCTACTGAGGGCAACAAAGTGAGACTCTGTCTCTAAAAAAAAAAAAAGTTCATAGAGAATTTAAAGATTATATTATAAAATATGTCCATTGGAAAACTGTGCCATTAAAAATACCAACATCCGTCCATATATGTGATTTATTTTGAAATCTACTATTCTCATAAAATCTAGTGGAGCAGAATATAATATTCTAAAAAGAACACTTCAGTAACCAGTAATCTGTTTGTTGTATAGATTAACCCACTCTGATTTTCTATTCACTTAGAATTTTCACTCATATTGGGCAATCATTTCTCTTCAGTTCTAAGCCCTGGTCCTTTGATAGCACACCCCACTCTAATTTTTTTCTTTATCTTGATTCTTGCCTTTACCCCCAGAGCTGACCCTCTTTAAAGAATTAGTGCATGGGGCTTCTATTTAAAGCAACATTGTAAATCAAAGCATCTTTTTGAAATGCAAAGAACTATCATAAAATGTTTAGGTTTATCCATGGTGGCCAAGCTCTTGCATTAGGCAAGGTTATTACTCTAGCTGCTGTTACACTAACAGCCTCCAAGTCTCAGTGGCTTTAAAAAACAAAGTTTCATTCTTGTTCAGGTCAGTGACCTGGGGATCAGGCAGCTCGGGATTCAGGCTCCCTCGTGTCCCTTGTAACACCACTGCCCCTTAGGACTCTGAGTTTCAACCCGTGTGTTGTGGGGTAGATCTACCGTCTTTAGATCTTAGCTGTGCCTCCCAAATTTTTTAAGATCATTAATTCTATGGTTTATCTTAGAAGAGTACAAGTGAATCTTTCTAAGAGTAGAATATAAACGTCTTAACACAATAACTAAGAAAATAACACAAAGGCTATGTTAACCAGTTTGGTGAAAATATTTCAAACTGTATATGAAAAGACCACACTGTACCCCATGATTGCAGTAATGTACACAGATATCATTTAATAAAAAAAAGATCATTAATTGAATTATTTTTGAAAGACGTTCAAAACACAGTATCTTTTTTTTACATTTTAAAAAAAATCAACCTAAGTTAAGTGTGCTGTGGAAGTGTAACTATAGGTTCAGGTGTGCCATGAGATAAAGAAGGTTGAAAAACACAGCATTAGGGCGTCCTCGGAGTTCTTAGTAGGATGTTTTGCATTAGAAGTAACAGGAGAAGAACACCCACAGAAGACCATGCAGGAGACCTGGGGCCGGGCCTCAGAGGCCCATCTGGTCCCAATATAAGTATGAGGGAAGTAGGGAAATGTCATCTTGCCCAATGCCAATTAAGGTAAAACTGTACACTGCAGCCAGGAGATGCTCCCTATTCCAATTGCAATTTCAGTTGGGTCCTATCCACTAGGGCTGTGTTCCTGAGCCCTCAGGACATGAACAGGTAGTGGTCTGTGGTCTGTTAGAACATCCAGGCTGCAGAGCAGAGGTGAGCAGGGGCCAGCCAGGGAAGCTTCATCTGTACTTATAGCCGCTCCCCAATTACACACATCACCGCCTGAGCCTCCTGTCAGATCCCGGGCAGCATTAGGTTCTCAGAGGAGGGTGAACCCTGCTGTACACTGCTTGGGAAGGACCTAGGTTGTGTGTTCCTTATGAGAATTGAATGCTTCTCCCCATCCACCCCTGCCCATGGAGAAATTGTCTTCCATGAAACTGGTCCCTAGTGCCAAAAGGTGGAGACCATGACACTAGGGGATACATCATATCACATATTTATAAATATGCTATTTTATGTAGTTTTATACCTTTGATTAAATCAGACAAGATACATCTTAGTTAGCAACTAGAAGTACATATTTATAAACTAAAAGTATATATTTATAAAAATATTCATTGAAAATTTTGCCTTTAGACAGATACCATCATCTCCGTGTATGCATAGTATAGTTTGAAACCTTATATCCTCACATAATCAGTGAAGCAAATTTGATACCCCAGACCTCCATATGCAAGTGATTCTGTTTGCTCACTGTGTGAAGTTTAAATAAGGGTTTACACAATTGTACTTTGAAGATGGGATGTATCTAACCGGTAACATAAACACCAAAAAATTGTCCAGAGGAAGAAACCCAAGCTGAAGGTCTCCTACATGAAAGGCCAATTAAGCTTTACTTAGAAAATAGATACATAGTTACATGACAATGTTTCCTTTACAGGAATGCGTCAGTAGAGTTTAAGATGTTCCCATTCTAATTAGAAAAGCTGGCGTTTCCTTAATTAGAAAGGCTTTGCTTAACATAATATTTGACACAGTTGAATACTGGTCAATTGCAATCGCTTTATTCGGAGCCCACCATACAGAGAGATGACATCCTGTAACATTGGCTAGTTAGGTGCTGCCACCCAGAAGTGGTTCAGGGCGCGGGGAAACTGAGGATGGTGGAGGTTTTGTGAAGCTCAGCACTCATGCTGTGCCAGCAGGTTTTCAGTTGTCACGGATGACATTCAAGGAAAATGACTTACTGCCTCTTGCTAAGCTACAGTTAAGAAAGTTTTTATTCACAACTATTTCAATAGGTACAGGGACCACAGAAATGGGGCCTTGCAGTAGCAGGGAGAGATTGAGCTCAACACAGCAGGGCAAAGTGGGGAGCATCGGACAGAAAATAACTAAGAGGAGACATCTGGGGGAGGGGGTTCCCACTGAACTGCTGTGATAGGATTCTAGCCGAAGTCAGGCCAGAGGGAGCAGACATCCCTGCAGGTGGGAGGACGATGAGGAACCTGATCAGATATCCAGGGTGACCAGACTCTGAGGGTACGGGGTCCTTGCTAAACTGATGGATGACAGTTCTTGTAGTCAAAGCTGATTTTACAAGCAGGTGCACACATTGGCCTTGGAGAAGTTCAGGAGCTTGGCTAAAGTTTGGCCACAAAGGAACTCTGTCCATAAGGTCTGGGATGGATGTGAGGTCTACAGAGATTAGATACATGTGATTCAAGATGTTTCAGGGCAGGGGTGTCCAACCTGCAGCCCATAGGCCACATGCTATTGTTGTGAGGACTTTTTCATTTATCTGTGGTGTCAGATATCACAAAAAGCACGCACAGACCCTTTTTTTTTGCTCATCGGCTTTAGTTAGCATTTGTTATTTATCATGTGGCCCAACACAACTCTTATTCTTCCAGTGTGCAGCACAGAGCAAGGTTGGACACCCTTGTTGTCGGGCGTTTACACCACACATCACTTTCTTTGGGCACTAAAGAGAAAATAATAAGGCTCAGCTTTTATATCAGAAAACTACAAGTCATATCTTCCACCCACGTTCTTCCAGCCTCAACCAGCTTCCCTGTGGACAGTTTCTGCTTCTTCCTAGACATGCCTGGTCCCAGTAGTGAGTTCTTCTCACCCAGTCTCACTGCTGTGGGGCTTTGTTCCGACTCTCATTTCAGTTTCTTTCTTTCTTCTTTTTTTTTTAATTTCAGATGAATGTAAGGGCACATACGATTAGGTTACATTGTTTGCTGTTGTTAGGTAATGTCCAAGTTTTAGTTGAGCCCCTCACCCAGGAGATGTGCCCTGTACCCCTACATTGTACCCGTTAGGTGAGAACACATCAAACCCCTCTCTCCTCTTCTGCCCTCCCTCCTCTCCTCCCCCCTCCTTTCTCTCTCCTCCCCCTCCTCCTCCCATAGCCCTACACTGTGCCTGCTAGCTGAGAGGGCACCAAACCCCTCCCTCCTCCCTCCTTTCCCCCTCCTCCATCCCTCCTTCTCCCTCCCTCCTTTCCCCCTCCTCCATCCCTCCTCCTCCCTTCTTCCATAATTGTTTTTCTCTCCTGTGGGCCTGTAGTTGTTCACCTACTGGTTTCACATTCCTGTGGGCTACACTGGCTACTTGCTTTTCCATCCCTGTGATGTTTTTACTTAGGAGGGTATTCTTCAGCTCCATCCAGGTAAATACAAAAGATGTAAAGTCTCCATCTTTCTTTATGCCTGACTGGTATGCCATGGAAAACACATTCTGGTTTGGTTTTCTGAGGAAGCCAGATGAGAGAAAGGGAACCGAGAGCAGCATTCTTCAGGTGATCTTTGTGCCCTAGAAGTCTGTAGAGCAAAGCGGCGAGGGCAGACACCAGGGGAGGGTCCCCCCACCAGGGCCAATTAAGTCTTTTATGGGCCATGAAGGCAGCCCATGTGTCTCTCAACATAAGAATATACTGCATTCAAACAAAACACGTGTTAAACTGTGTGTTACGACTGTGTTGGTACAAATCCCAATATGATCTCCAAGCTCCAGGTTCATTTATTCTCTGATTTTAAAAGGAATTAAAATATCTTTGTGAACCCCCAATGGTCCTTACTGAGCTGCCTGATGCTGGCTTTGCCCCCCGACCCCGATTCATTTTATTTCCCGTGCCTCCCTACACGACTCGGCCCGTCTCTTGAGCTAAGAAGGGACGTGAGGAATCTTTGCAGAACTGAACTTGCACTTCCCATTGCTTCACTTCACGCTGGAAACACGGCAAACATCGCACCCGCTGTTGAACGGAAATCCCTTTAGAAAGGCTGGGATGACAGCACACCATTTTTAATTGCCACGACACATTTTATTTTAACTCTGCATTACATGTTCTAAGGAAATGTTTTACTTGATGTATTTTGAAGACAAGTGAAGACACAATTTTACTGAGATGCACCAAACACTTATCCCATCTTGTTTTCCTGTGTTTTTCCCCTCCACTATTCATTCTATGTCCTTCAGGGAAACTGAAAAGTTGGCTTCCTCTCTTGAATCTTGGTTCTACAGATGTACAGCTTGCAATTCTGTTTTACCTGCAGTGTTGCTGACCTTGTGAAACGGTGCCTAGTGCACTTTACTAAATCCTTTGCCTAACGTTTAACATCTGTGCAATGTTAGGAATATAAGCATTTAAAAAAAAACTGTAAAAAATAAATCTGTCAAAAGCTTCAAAATCCAGTGAAGTTTGGATTGGACTTTGGAGGTCACAGTAGTAGACGCCTTGAAAGCAAGTGGCCATGCCTTACAGGTCTGTAAACAACAAACAAACAACTGCGCCTTTAAAGCTTCCTTAGGTTTCACCTGGACAAAAGAATTCACAGTTCATGTTGTAAAATCAAAGCAAGACTTTTAGACAGTAAATGGCCTGAGTATAAGATAATTATGGTCATTATAAATAAACCAGATTTTAAAATGCTCTGATGATGCACTGATCGTGATCTCAGTTACCGGGAGCTGCTTTGACACCCGACACATTTGCATCTGGAGGTATGTGCGGTCCTTCATTTGCTATTAACATTTGACAGATGAAGCAGCTAATTCCCTACATACAGAGGCATTGACATGATCTATCAAGGCTCTTCAAGTTATTTAAGCCTCCAACATATGTTCCCACAGCATCAAGTGTTTTCCCAAAGTCCACTTGCATGGAATGTGCTAAGCTGTGGGTAAACACTGTCATCTCAAAGCATCGACTTGTGATTGTGACTTGAAATACTTTGAATAGCATCACAGTATTAGTGACAATTCTAACTCATCATCGATGTGCTAGTACTCTTTAATAAGAATGTTTTCTAAATGAAGATGAGAGATTTTCCTCAATTGCTAGGATAAGAAACCATGTTTGCTTTCGACAATTCCATGACGCGGGGTGGGAATCTCATTTTTTGTTGTTTGTTTTTCAGTTACAAAAAAGAAAAAAAATGGAAGTCTGAAATAGAAGAAGTTTGAAAAGGAGTTGGGGAAATGCAGTTACATCTGGAAACTTCCTAAGGTGGAGGGCAGGCATAGAGGAACTTGTAGTCAACTTGCAGAACGCTACCTCCACTCCCAAACAGCCCGTGGGGTCCTGGCGTTTCATTTGCCTGCCCTGCCTTGGAACTGAGCAAATGCTGGGCAAACCGCAGGTGCCCAGATAAACAGGTAAGCAAGTGGGTGGCAGTATCTCTTCATTTACCCATAAAGGAATTTCATCATTTGTTGGAGAAGGTCTTATGTCTGAAGAAGTGACTGAACTGCACCCTGCACAGAGGGAGGCTCACTCACACTGCGGTACTGTCTCCAGCTCTATCACTATCCTCCGCTCTCCCAGGCAACCGGTCATTCATGCGTTCTCCCTGATCGACTGCGATTTGGTGGAAATGGAATTAAAACCACACTGTGCATCTCATCCTGGAACTGGGGCACAGGCATTTCTTGGCCACAGATAAAACTACACAAAACAAGACAAATAACAATAACAAGCGCTCCCATCACTAATTTCTGCCTATGGCTAAAGACAATCACACTTACACGTACAGAACATGGATTGCTAGTGGGGGGCTTTCGCTCCTCTCAAAATATCACAGACATTCTAAAGCAGTGGTTCTGAATTATGTTCAAAGAGATTTCCTGAACCGTAGCGCCCCAGAAGTGGTCTTTGAGTTCAGAACTTCCAGTTACCAAACAAAAACAACCCCCCAAAACTAAAAACCAGTGGATCCCAAATATAATTCAATATAATCAGTTCAGGAGAGATTTACCTTGGGATTATTATGACTGAAGGATTTCACAAAAAATTATTGTGCAAAATAATCTATTTGTGAGCCTCTCTTTTTTTTTTTTAACTTAAATACTGATAAGCTTCTATGATCCTATTTTACACATCTCAGCCTTGTTGAGGAAGGAGAGACTCTGGGTGTGTAGATATGTGTACATCTCTATATAAGGTGAATACCATTGAATACGTGTTCTAATACCGGGAATAATCACTAGTCCTCGGATGGACAAATGGGCACTGACCACGATCTACTATTGGTAAAGAAGATGGTCCTTTGTCCACTACAAAGTTGCACATGTGAAGATTTACTGAACTGTTTTTAAACTTTACTATCTTTTTTTATCATGCTGTTTGGGAGTCTTGGTGGTTATTAAATCACTTCACATCACGGGGTGAGAGACACCTAATGCTGTCAATGACACGTGTGCTGAGGGCTGAATTCAGTTCACCTGGTGCACCTTCCTACCACCTGTCTGCACTGCGGCTGGTGTGCTCATGCCGACGCCCTTCCACCCTGTCCAACAGGGCAAGGGGTCTGGCCAGGGAAGGAGCACACTACCCAACTTCAACCCCCCCCTCAGCCCCGAGTTCAGTAGCTCTTGAGTTCTCGCTCAAGTCTTCAGGTGATAAAATAGAGAATTGGTCCAGATCCCAGACTGGGACGGGGCTGGCTTCAGCCCGTGCACTCCGAGGCGTGGGCGTGTGCGTGGACAGCTGGCTCCGCGCACAGCCACCCAGTCCCACAGACGTGGCTAGAGGGTGGTTCTCCATTCTCGCTGTCTGTCTCTGTCACACTGGCAGGTCAGGCCGGACGAGGGGCAGCACAGCTGGAGCCAGGGCTTCCAGAAAATGTTCCCCAGGGACAGCTGGTTGGGGACGTCTCTCAGGGTCTTGTTGTGTCTCTGCACGGCGGCCTGCATGGCTCTCAAGATTTCATGGAATCGGGGCTCGATCGCAGGGGTCAGTGGGCTCCTCTCTCTGGGGTCTTTGGAAATGTCGAAGAGCAGAGGAGGGTCGTGGTAGGTGACAAAGCTCCCGAAGCAGAAGCAGACGTGTGTGGAGAAGCAGCCGTTGGCACCTTCGGGACTGAAGTTGGGGGTGAAGTAAAAGGCTTTCCAGATAGATGTGCCTGCAGTTTCAAAGGACGGGAACGGTTAGGTGTCAGGCATGACGGCCAGGGCCCTCACCACAACTGAGCAAGTGACACAGACATGAGGCATCACCGGGCTGAGAAGGTGAGGGCCGGTGAGCTAGCGGCAGGCATGGTGCTGACGCGAGTAGCAGTGACTAGAGGCCACACACAGGCACACATGCAACCGGACCCCACGAGCCGCCACGCAGCCACCACTTCACATTCTCGCTTTTGAGAAAGTCCAATGACACTGAATCAAGAATTAACTGAGGCTGGGAAGTGAGTGTGGGGGCCACAAACGGGGAACAGAGATGACTTTGGGGTTTGGGGGTGTTCTAAAATCAGATTGTGACCAGGGTGGCACAGCTCTATGAATCTGCTAAGAACCTTTGAATCCGAATAGCATGGCGTGCAAATTAGACCTTTGTGAGCTGATGGAAATTCCACATTGGCTGAATTCGTCCACACCAGATGGTTAGATTTTAAAATGTTAAGTTCTGTGTTCTGTTAAGTCACTCAATATTGAATTTCTTAGAAAAACGGATTTACAAACAAATGAGAAATAATGACATAATGGATTCATTCCTGGTTTCTTGGCAAGTGTGGGGATTTTCGGAGGAGCTGCCTGCTCTCAGCCTCCGAGAGAGCTCCACAGACACTTGCTGGGTGTGAAACCGTGGCAGGTAGAAATTGAGATCTAACATGCGTGGGACCCTGAGACGCAGGGGCAGGACGTGCGCACAGCCCTCCCAGCTGTTCACACAAAGCTGCAGACGCCTCACTCCTGCTCAGTCACCCTCATCATCTGTGTGTAGACAGACACAGACAGCTTTGGGATCTTGTGGCTGAGTGGTCAAAACACTAAATAAATTAGCGGAACCAATTTAAACCAACAATGTCTGGTGTCTATGTTGTCCCCTGGATGGCCCCTGACCTCAGGCAAGGTTACTGGTGGGAAGAGTCAGTTCATCTGCCTGGTTTAGCAGCAGCAGCTGGGACAGCCAGGGAAGCAAGCTGAGGATGTTCCTGTAACCTGTTACAGGGGATTCATAACGCAGAGCCCGCAGAGT